ACACTATATCAGGATGACCCTGGCTGCATGCTGCATGAAGTGCTGTGTTACCATAGCTATCTGGCATGTCTACTAATTCTACACGTGGTTTATTGTAGCTTGGACTATCCAATAGATATTTTACTATTTCCAAGTGACCCTCTTGAGCTGACAGATAAAGTGGAGTACGACCAGAAGCATCAGTGATATCAGGATTACAGTAACGACCATCAATGAAAAACCTCAATATATCCAAAGACCCTCCCTTTGCTGATATGTGTATTATGTTAAACCCTTTATCGTCCAGTATAGAAATGTTGCAGTTTTTACTGTTGAGGTAACGAATGATGGGAAGGCTCTTAGAGAAAGCTGCAATAAGTAGTGGAGTACGTCCAAAAGAGTCGGTCATATCAAGAGATAATGGTGAATGGTCTATAATGTACTTGACTATACTCAATGATCCTTCTTCACAGGCTACATGAACTGGAGCCATTCCATTGTAATCTTTAACAGTGAGATCCAACAGATGCTCCTCCACTAGATGTTTGAGTATAGGAAGAGAATGACTTTTACATGATAAATGAAGAACTGTTGATCCATTTGAAGTTTTAGCTGATACGTCACACTGAGGAAGACTAGTGAGGTAGAGAACTATAGCAACATGTCCTTTCTGACATGCTATGTGAAGGAGTGTAAATTGAGTATCATCAGTAGGATCAGTGGCATTAATATCAAATGAATAATTGTTCAATAAATGCTTTAAACAATACAATTGGTTGAATTGTACAGCCCAAAATGGCAAGCTACCATTTTTAAATGAGGCTACATTGATATGATACTCTTGTCTGAGCCATTCTAGTATATGAACATGTCCAGATAACACTGCAACTTCTGGTGATGATGGTATGCTGAATATTTTAGGATTAAGGTTGTATTGTTTTATTAATAATTTTAAAAGATCAAGATTACCAGAGAAACATGCATAAGTGACACAAGTGTTGCCATTCTTATCTTGAGTAGTGACATCACATTTCATTACATCAATTAGAAATGTTACTAGTTGTATTACACCACAAAAACAGGCATAATGAATTGGTAGAGTATCCTTATTATCAGTAGAATGTAATAGACTAGTATGTGGTGGATAATTATTAATAATGTATTTAATAAATGAAAAATGACCATTCAATGTAGGAAGATGAAACAAATTACTGTTGAATACTCCACCCACTCTATCCAAATCACATCCACAATCTTTTACTAAATACTCTATGACATCAATAGCACCAACTTCAGCTGCAAATTGAACTACTTGCCTACCATCACCAGCTTTAACTTGAAGATCTAATTTATATTCATTAACTAATAATTTAATTAACGATAGTTTAGTACTATATGCTGCTTGAAGTAATGCAATTGATGTGAGAGGCAATTAATGATTATTAATGAGGTATTGGACTAGCTTCATGTTACCACTCTTAGCACTATGAATCAATGCATTCCATTTCTTATTATCTGTTATGTTAATGTCACTGTCTTGTACTTCAATGAGATGTTGGCTGAGATCAACATTACCACAACGACATGAATAATGAAGAGGTGTTCTACCCTCATTACAGGTTATATTAATATCAATGTCAGTAGTATTCATAATATATTCTACTGCATTGATACTACCTGACATACAAGCTAATGCTAATGGTACTACACCTTTGTAGTCTGGTTGACTGGTATTCAAGTTATACTCAGATACAGTATAACTGAGTAGAGTAGGTGAACCTGATAAAGCAGCATAATGTATTGCAGACCGACCCTCATAATCTAAT